TAGTTGTAGCGTCCCAAGACTTCCTGATCGGTAGAAGAAGGCAGTAAGTGCAGTTGGATACACGCATTGCGAAGACGACAGGACAAATAGACCTCGGCATGGCCCAAAGGCCAGCCTCCGTGTACAAGGACCGGAAAAATCCTAAAGTGACCGCCAGACGTTAAGTAGTCACATGACCGAAACATTACACCTTTCACATATTGTACTTTCAAGCTAGCTAGTCCGACTCAACTAACCACATCTGGGCACGAATTTCTGACTCTGACAGAAGTAAAGTGATGCTTGGTTCCGTAGGATGACTCGTGCTTAAATGCACGCATACACCAAGACGCTAAGAACCTTGGCCTGATCCCTAAACGATTCGCCTTTTAATACTAACCTTCCCTCATAATTGAATAAGCTTCAAGCCTTTCTTGTACAGAACCAAGAAGAACAATCCAGAGTAATACTATTTAAAGATTTAACTTCATCATTCTGGATTACACTTGAATGAGTGAGAAAGGTTATGAATAATCACAAAAGAATGAAAAGAGAAAGACAATTGTTGCACTATAGGAATGTGTTGAAGATAAACGATATGACAGTGTCACGTCTCTATTCCGGAACCACCAACACCACCACAATGTGATAGTGCGGTTTGCTGATGGCGAGCGTAAACAGTAGCCACCGCGGCAAGCAGACGTTGTCGAGCGTGCTTGTCACCGCGGGCAAGACAATGAGCCAGGCCCAGACTCTGACGCTGCGTGTAGCGATGCACTCCAGTACTCTCCAGCCAATTAGACCATTCACGGGTAGGTACAAAGAAGGCCTGGATGTAGTCCACTAACATGTTCAGCTTCACAAAAGGTCTATGGAATTTGGTTGAGAGGGGAAAAGACATTTACATCCTTGAATGCTATGTTGCGCCCATGAATACGAAATGCATGAATGAAACAAACAGACTCATAAAATTGGTCATGAAGCACAAAACAATCAATTTTTGTTTTGACCCATGTCAAATGTGCAAAAACCTTTCACGATTGCCACGCAGCCTCCAACCTCAGGTACGTGAATAAAACCAGAGACAAGATCTATGAATGAGAAGTGACGTACTTTCAATATTTCATGTCAGCGACAAACAACCGGAAGCACAGCACCAACATTATTCTTTTAGGAACAACGCGAATTATCTACAAAAGAGGCGGGAGACACATACCGTATGCCCGATTCAGTTTCGCATAGCAGAGCAGCCGACTGAACGTCAAGGAGCATTTGGCTGCGTCCTTCTTCTGTACAATCATACACTCCAGCTAATCCCTCTAGTAGCTCCGCAGAGATCCATGCCATGGCACCCATCCATAGGGCCCGCATAGACAACGGAGGAATAGGAGGTGGAGAGAGGGCCTTAAAAGCACTAGACAGGCGGGATATTGCCGCGTTCACCGACTTTAGGTAGGGGCTGGGTTCTGTCGCAACCGTCTTTGATGCCCATCCAGGATTCGTCGCCACCATTTGCCGCAGCAGATGTGACGCATCATTGTCTGTCTTGCAATATATATTCGAATGGCTGAGAAGAGACATTAGTAACCGTTTTGCTACATGATTCTTGGTCAAGCAAATTACTAAAAGGTCTGAAACTCACCCACCAAGGATTAGGAGAGATGGAAAGATGCAAGAGGCAAGGTGATAAGCAGTAGCTTCACGAACGTCAAGGGTTGTGATAAGGGATTGGTCACGAAACGCGTCCAGGAGACCACGTTTGCTCTCTGGAAGAGAGTCGCGAAGGTGGGGGAGGAGATCCTGAGGGGAGAGGAGCATAACCAGTCAATGCTCAAGTTACTGTAGGTATATAAAGGTAATGTGTATTTTGTCAGCGATTATACTTCGCTTGAGCTAGGCTTTTACCTGTTCTACCCCTTATATTTTCATAAAGGAGACCCCTGGATCAAAACGAGATCTTCTAGGGTACAGAATATCAAAGTGCCATGGTTTACCACAAAATCGCATTTCAACGCAATGATGTATTCTCCTCAATCCACTTCTATATTAAGTAAAGTAGGAACACCATCTTCGTACTAAGCACTAGTGAACGGTTCGAAACTGCAATCGTTATTGCTATTGCAAAGCGTTGTCAAAAACTTCATAGAAGAAATGGATTGCATACCGTTTCGTACCAGGTTGTGTGCTGGTGAGGCACTAAGGCTCAGAAGAACTATACTTGCTGGAAGATTGCGCATGGAACTGACAACAAAGGTAGACAGTAGAACATTAGGGATCACTGCAGCCGCAATTATCAATGGCATACCGCTGCTTTCGAAAGGCTTACATCAACCAACCATTAACCAGTTATGCAGGTGGGTGTCCTAAAACTATCATTCAATACTTGAAGTTACATGCCGGAAATAATAATCATGCTACTGAACTTGAATTCAGTACACAAGTTGAGAAGGAAGTTTGTTACTCCTCACATGTACACATCCTTGAATTCACTACCCTTCTTCTCCACCACCCGATCACGGGTAACAGCGTCTCCACTGGATCATGACCCCAACAGTGAAGGAATATTCAACTCAATTATTGTGGGATGTAAAGTTAAAGGTCTCGGGATTGGTTGAAGGAGTTTAGTTTCCTAGCATGATGCTCTAAATGTTACATTACCCACATGCCACAAGCCCGCCACCGCCTCCATCCAATCGGAATCTTTGCAATCGGAATTCGACAACCTTTTCTGAATCGCGACCTAGTAGATTCACTGGTTTCTAAGCAAAATTCACTAAAAAAATTTCCCATTTAGAATACCTGAAGGTGTAGAGATGCTCCATAGAAGAGCAGTTTACTCAAACGGGGTAGGAGAAAAACAATTAGTACAGCTTTGATATTGATAAACTAGAGAATTTAATACCTTCACTTAAAAAAAAACGCTTCCACAACGAAATGGGGAAGGTGGAGATCAAAAGATGAAGTAAGTGCTACTGGAAGCATAACAACGGACGACGGCAAAATGAAGTATTTCGATTCGCTCAACATGGTTAAGTGT